TAAAACCTGACAAAAGTGACCTGAACTACTATACTGGACTAGAAAAAGAACTGAACTAGCAAAGTATTCTTGAGAATTACAGTGCTAGATATTCTGAGCTGTCCAGCATCTCCACTTTCAGAGAATACCCTTTCAGTGATGTTTTAAGTGTTTGGCAGTCTCTACAAATTGCTATAAAATATTGTAGACTGCACTAGTATAATTTTTAATTTATTGAGATTATGGCAGAGTTTCTTCTCTGACATGAGAGAAGTGATGTAAGATTTACTTAGGGATGTAGCCCTGATTTCTTACTGAATCAGAAATGACCCGTTTTAGAGAAATACATGTTTTATTATGCATTGCTTAAATGCCTGTGGCTGCAGTACTAAATATGAATCAGCAATATTGGTAGGAATACTTAGTGTCCATAGAAATAGTTTACATGAGTAAAAGAAATAAGGAAACTAAGTGACATAGTTCTGTTGAATCTGTTTAGATAGTAAGGCTGTGGTTTGAGAATGTTTAGAGGCACTGGAATAATTTTCACTAATTTCCTTGGAGCTTCACATTTGCGAAGTTAGGCTTGTATTTTAGTATCTTCCTGAACTATTACTTGCTCAATTCAAGGTGCACGAGTGAATTACTTTCTCTTATTAAACCATACGCTTAACACATCTTGCAGTGTATATTGCGTGCTGTTCCTTAGTTTTGTATAGCCCATGATCTCTTGTGCCGTTTGTTTTAGAAAGTTGTTTGCTGAAGCAACTACTCATTTTTATAAACAACTAAACCTTTTCTGGTCTACAAGTATTAGGTATATAATCCTCAGTGGTCCGAGTTTGGAAACAGATCCTTTAACTATAAGTAGCATGAATTTATAGGGAGTGGCTGTTGTAGCTGTCAGGTCCTCTTAATTAAAAAATAGATGCACAAAAAGATAATGGATAGATACAGATATACAGATTTGAAATAAAATTAAAGACTTTTTCCAATTCAGTAAAATATAAACATTATTCATCTTACTAGATTGCAGGAATAAGGTTGTATAGATTAGGTCAGAAATTTTCCTATGGCAGACCATCTAAAAATGCTGATGTGACTCAGTTAAAAAGCTCTGTGGGAAACCTGCCAAAAGTCTTGACAAAATTGATAAACCCGCTTTGGTTGCTCTCTGTCTGCACTGCCAGAGCTGTCTGCCTGCTGGCAGGCGGACCGGAGCCTGCTGCAGCTGGGGCCGGGGCGGGGCGAGGGGGGTCGCAAACCCCTTGGCCAGCTCCTGCTCGCCACCCGCCCAGGCCAGGACCTCCGCCGCTGCCTGCTTTGTGGCAAGCTCACTCGCTCTGTATGGGATGAGTATGTAGCCAGGGCCAAACAGCCACTTTGGGGAGCCTGTCTGTTAGCTGAAAAAAATCTGGGTTGTTTTTAGTTAAGATTGAATTACTCTCAAAATTACTTTCTGGTAGGAATTTTTTTTTTTTCCCCTCAAATGTTGTCCTGATTTTTCCCCATCTTCTTCTTACACCAAAAGAGGGATTTAAATGTGAAATTACTTGCAAGGAAAATTTCTACTTTGCAGCAAGCTCTGGTATGCACTGAAGAAGGGGGCTGAAGGGCTATATGCACAGATGGTGATAGACCGTAGTGTACCAGTCTGGGAAAATGATTAATCGATACTAGAGGCATTTATTCTAGTACTTAGTTCTTTTAATTAAGCCTTCTGCTTTCTTGCTCATGATCTGTAGAAGCATATTCAAAATGTTATGCTGATTCAGGATACTGATGGTTTTAAGAGATACCAAAACAGTTCCCTATCTCTTTTTTTTAGTGGGTTCTTGTTGCAAATGGCAGTGAAGAGAACAAACGTTCTGTCCATGATTCTAATCGCAAGTTGCGTAAATATGGTTCAGATTTAAATGAAAAGAACCTGGGGAAGTAGTACTGAGGAACCATGAGTGGATAGTGAGAAAGGTAATTTAATTTAATGCACCTTTTTTATAGTTGTATCTCATCTGCTTAGGTGTAGCTGACCTTAATTCTGATGCTTCCTAAGTTTTGAGAAGTTGCCTTTCTGACCTTAATGATCTTTGAAAAGGAAGTCTGTAGCTTCGTAGACCTTGTTTTCAGCTGGATTTAAAAAAAATTCCCCTGAAGTGGCATTATTTACGCCTGCGTGATTCATTAAGGGAGCTGGAAGGTCTGGATTCCGTATGGTGCAGACCTTTGCGTCTTAAGGCAAAGGCACGCCGCTGTCCTTTATGCGGGATGAGCGTTGGAGGAGGAAGAAAGTGCTTTCAGTGAGCATAAGGTGCTTCCCTTTTCATCTTATACTTCACCTCTTCTCGAGTATTAGTTAGTCCCTTTTCCACTGTCTGCCTTCTCTTCCTTGTCCCATTCCGTTTCCTTACCCAAGTCTAGATTTTACAACTCTGATTTCTTTTAATACTTATTGCCTTGAAGTTTGCTGTCCAACCTAGAATCTCTTTTCCTCCTGTCTCAGTTCTAATGCTTCTTTCCAGCTAATCTTCCCAGTCTTTTCCCTTGGCGTTCCTTGTCCAAAATGAACTTTCTTTTCTCTTCATCCCAGCAGGCAAGTTTCTCATTCAGTATTTAATTCTGTTTTTTCCCTGGCTGTTTCATCATCTCTGGCACAGGCTTTGCTCCACCAGCACCAGTTCTCCACTGCATGGTAGTTCATTGTGTCTTTGTTTCCTGATTTCTGCCTCATGTAGCTGTTCAGTCGATCCTCCCTCCATCCTGCTCAGTTGCTCTGTGCTACGCTACTGATGATCCCGGGATCCCCTCCCCAAGTGTTCTTCCTTGCCAGCTCTTCGTTTGTCCTGACTCTTTTCTGCCTCCTCTCCTTCCTGCCCAACCAGTTTCCTGGCTCTTTCCATTCCCCCTTTTTTTCCCCCGATCTGGCTGATGCCCTCACAGTATTTGAATTTCTTCTTTCACTATGTGTATCTGTGGTGAAGTGAGGTTGGTGGAAAAGTAGAGCTGAAGTTTCTGTCAGGGTTTTACCTCAATCCAGCGGGAAGCTGCACACACAGGAAAAATACTCCTTAGCCTTGGGCTGAAGAATACTTGTTGGTTCTGTAGAAGTGGTTCATGATCAGACCTGCTGTGTGTAGGAGGTTGGAGCATACGTCTGAAATATTTAGGGATTTTAGTCGAATCTAAAAAAATCTTTACTCCTGCATTTGTAAATATGTGTGTGTTGGAGGCAGGGGGAAATATGCTATGAACAATTACTTTCAGTGTGAACAATTACTTGGGTAGAGATTTAAGCAACAGAACTGAACTCTACAGTGGGAATTTGTTGACAGTATTTGTAATAAGAGTTGCTACCAGCCTACCTGTTAATAGCTGTGCTAAGAAACAGTTAAAGATGTTTTATGCTGAAGGAATGACCTGATTCTGCAAGTGATCGAAAGCCACAGTGTGAACTTTGAGCATGGGAGAGGGTTAATAAGATGATTAAAAAGATATATTCAGAAGTAATAGAATGCATAAAACAAAGTCAGTTAAGGCTAAATATTAAGATTTTAACATAGTATGTTACAGCATGTTTTTTTTTCCCAGAGAATTAGTAGAAATTCGTAGAAATTCTCTTTTCTTAAATGTTGATGTGTTGACCAGATAGAACGCACAAAATGTCCTGTAAAGAGCACTTACATGCTAATGGGAGGAGGATCATGAAGCAAAAGATCATGTTACTATGTCTTTTCTGAGGGACTGTGTGTTTGAGTCCAAGAAATGCAATATATAGCATAACCTCAAGTGGAATTTGCAAAGCTACTTGAAATAGGCTGCTACTTTCCTTAAGTAGGACATATGGCCCCTGAATACACATGGAAATTTAAATGCAAGGAACAAAAATTAGGCTATGATCCAAAGCCAGTTGAAGCTGATTAAGAGACTTCTTTTGACTATGGAGGGCTCTGAATTAGGCCTCTAATAAGCTATAATTGTCTCAGGTGTTTATTCCGACCTTTTGGTTAGTCAAGCATAAGGATTTTTTCATTTGGCTCAAGTTTGTTGTGGCTGGTATGGAATGCTGTGTGTGAGTATAAGAAACGTCCCAGTGTGTATACCAGCTCAAGTGTTACGTGTTTCAGTGATTACTTCTAGAAGTAGTAAGTGGGTAACACTCAATAACTTAACTACATTAAATCACCAGATTATATATTGTTCTATCTTTATGGCTTAATTAGCACTATATTATGTTAAATTGTAGGTATGTCTAGAGATTATTTGCCTGTTCCTATAAGATAGGCCTACAGCTAGGGTAGATTAGAGACAAGGAAAATATCTGTACTTTCCACAGTTAGCGCAGTTTGTAGTTCTTTGTGTTGGACTAACTTCAGTGTGCGTTTCCTCTATTCATCCAATCCTGTTAGATGTCTAAACTTTTCAAAAAGCAAAACAGGAGAGAGGAATACATTTTTCAAGTTAGAAAAATGTCTATAGAGTTGCAAATATAGGTTGAAGTTAGAGACGGTCTGCCTGACTCGCGTTATTTTATTTGACTTGTTTTATGCTTATCTTCTGTTTAAAAATGTAAACATTCTGCTTTCTATGTCTATCATGATTTTTTTGAGGGCAGTCCAAGCTATTAGTTCTTTCATTCTAATTCCCCTTGGCATATTGCCCCACTTAACTTGAGACCTGCGCTTTTCATGGATATACATAGCTTCTAGCTATGTATGTGCTGTCTCCCTACTTTATTCAAGTTGAGAAGAGTAGAAGGTCACTTCTGGAGTCAAGTTTTTGTTCAAAATATGAATAGAAATATAGAGCTGGTTCTCGCTTCCAGCTGGACTAGATGGCACCAAGGCCATTCACTAGTGAAGTTTTCCACAGTTCAGAAAAGATTTTGAGACGCTCTTGCTTATTATTCTGTAAAGCACTGTGAAATTAAAAGTTGTGGTGGTTTTTAGCACTTGACGATCGGAACATCTGCATCAGTTTGGGGGATGAATTGGAACTTATTCCTTTGTTTTAAATTTGACCTCTAGGTTCCAGCAAGATGTGGAGTGACAGTCCGAGACAGCCTGAAGAAAGCTCTAATGATGAGAGGTCTTATTCCAGAATGTTGTGCTGTTTACAGAATACAAGATGGGTATGGTTTACGTGTGATGTTTTTGCTCTCTTAACTTTTTCTTGGAATTAACTAGCATGGCCAATTCTATTTAACGTTATGGAAGTCATTTTCAAGGTTAGGAATAATATGATAGTATATGCTAAAATGTGTTGTGCCTCAAAGACATGCCTGAAAAGGATGGCAAACTCCTAGAAAAAGTTTTAATATTTATCACTTCAAGGACAGGCATAATACAGGGCAATATGTGTTTTTAAAGTGTTAACAAAATTTATATTAACCAAACTCATGCTAACCAAACAAATATTAAGCAGGTTTCTTTTATTTTAATGTTTTGGTTTTGTTTGACCTGGTTATATTGCAGTCTTAACTGAATCTAGAGTTCTTGTGAAAAAAACTTAAATTGAATTTCCAACCTTTAAGAAGCTCATAGATTATGTGACTGCCCAAAAGTAGTGAGTCCTTTGGAACTCTTAGGAACGGGTAATTTCACGAGTGCTTTTTGGTTGGAAAGGTATCCGTCACCTCGGAGCCAGAGAGTCAGCTACCACTGGAACTGATTTGAAAAAAGTGTATTTCTTTCACGGTGCTTGTCCAGGGGAGATGTGCTTTCCTTGGTGCATGCTAAGTTTAATCTTGTGTCATTAAAGCTTCCAGAGGTGAAAGGCTGGGTAGCAAACCTTCACAGTGCAGCTTGCTGCCTGATCAAAATTTCTCTACATCTTCTGCAGGAGAACTGCAAGGGCTTATGCGCTGGTACTAATGAAAGGCTTATTTATTTCCACTTTAGAGAGAAGAAGCCGATCGACTGGGACACTGACATATCCTGGCTCACAGGAGAGGAGTTGCATGTGGAAGTCCTGGAGAATGTGCCACTCACAACACACAATTTTGTATGTACTGGTTTTCATGAAAAGTTCAGTAGAACTAAATTGACTTTGTACTTTCAAATTCATGAGTTTGAACAATGTTTTGTACCTTGGGCATGCGGAGGGATTGCAAAAGAAGTTTTGATTGCAGTAGCTTAAGCTGAATTATATCTAACTGTAACTGAAATAAATGGTGTCAAAGGGAACTTGATCTCCCTTAGAACTTTCACGTTTGGATGGAACGCACCCTCTAAAATCTAAAAATGTAGAGGCCTTAAATCAGCACTGCATTGCAGAGCTGTAATAATAAACTACTATTTTTGTATTGCTGTATCTATAAAATGTGTTCTGTGCCTCCCTGCTGGCTCTGCAGCAGCAATTAACTAATGAACTAACTATTCCCAGAGCGGTGCTGACATCATCAGTGATGCTAGTGCACAAATATGTTTTGACCTGATAAGGCACTAAGGCATCACGTAAATGGAAGCTACTAAGCAGAATCCATCCAAACCATTCCAGCTCCATGCAAAATCCTGGAAATAATGTTTGTCACATTGAAAAGAAAGACCTTTATTTAAAATAGAGCAATCTGTTTTCAAGCAGCTTAAGCTATTTTACTCAAACAAGCTAGTTTGGCTCTGGCTAGTTAGATGAAAGTATAGTAGACTTAGAAACGTTTATTTTCGATACCCTTCTTTTAAGATTGTGACTGTTACATGCAGTAATACTACTGGAACGTATTTTTATGCCAAGTATCACTAAACTTTAAAATGAAACTGAAGATTTTTTTTTTCCTCTGAAATATGGAGGTGTTTACCTTTCTTACGATTGTAATGTTTGAGTTTCAGTAATCAGAATTTAAACTACCTATGTAACTATACATGCAAACAGAATATAAGCCATTTGTGTATTTCCAGTCATGTAAATGTTGGTTAAAAATGTCATTTGGATGCTGGAAAAATTAGAAGACAAGGCAATTTTTCAGCAGTTTTTATAGATTGTATCCAGTTAAATTCTGACTATTTTACTTGTCTCTAGCATGGTAATAGTGTGCTGTTTTGCTTTAGATTTGTTGCTGTTTTTCTTGCTGGTAATGAAGTGAAGCATTAATTGCAGTAAATTGTTGAAAGAATATTTTAATGCTGGAAGACTATTTCAAAAGACAACCTTTTTTGTAAATCTATTCAGTATTTAAAACTGGAGCTTTAGTGTCAAAAAAGAGGCTTATAAATATATTTGAGGGAGGTAAAAGCAAATAACTCATCTTAGGCTTAGAGGGCCACTTTATTTAACATGATTATTTCTGACAACATAGGTGCGAAAGACGTTCTTCACGTTAGCATTCTGCGACTTTTGTCGAAAGCTGCTTTTCCAGGGATTCCGGTGCCAGACATGTGGCTATAAATTTCACCAGCGCTGTAGTACAGAAGTGCCACTGATGTGTGTTAATTATGACCAACTTGAGTAAGTAATCGTAATTAGTTTTAAAATTGAGACTTTTATTAAACTTATATTTAACATAAAATTTCACTGACAGCTGCAATTTAGGAAGTCAGGGGAGATGCCTGAAAAAATATAGGAGCTCAACAGCTCAACTGTTTTTTTTGTTTTTTTTTTTTTTGACTGGACTATGAAATGCTTTCTTTGAAGGATGAATGGAGTGGCTGAATGCTTGACTACATCAGACAAACTTATTGTTGTTCCCAGATGTCATTCCTGATCAAAACTGGTTCTTTATTATGTGATGGCTAGGTCTCTGTTTAAATGTTTAGATGTGTGTCCATTCTCTTTGACCTGAAAAAAACGGTAAAGACACCAGTTTAATCAGGTTAAGTTGCAGTTGGTTTTACAAAAGTTGAAAATAAATCTGTTAGCGAATTTTCAATATCTAGGTAAGAAATATAAAAGAGCATGCCCTAAACGTTTGTGTGTTCTTGAATTTACATACTGATTCATTTGTGTATGGCTTTGTAGTATAGGTTAAGGATCTGTAGTGAACTTGCTCTATTGTATCTGATCCATTTCAACAGAGGCTATGAAGTCTTTTAAATAGACTTTCATATGAGGAATCTCTTAAAATGCTCCTTTTCTCTCCCAAGGAATAAACTTAATTTCTGCTTATATTGATATTTGTAACAGTGTTTGCTTAGGCACCTCTAGATAGCGTGCTCAGGGTTATGAGTAACATGACTTTATCCATCTGGCAGTTTGTTTTGCCCTTACGTCAGTGCAAACATTCAGTTAAGTTCCTGTAACTCAACAAATACCTATAAGTTGTGTATACTTGAGGAACCAGATGCTTACAATTTTGAGTAAAAGATTCCGAAATTACTTTCCATAAAAGCATGGTGTTTAGATCTATTGTGAATTAAATGATACTTTTAACAAAACATGCAGGTTAACTTGCAGTTAGCGTAGTCCTTGTTTTAAAACTAGAACTCGCTCTGTGGCTTTTTTTAATCCTTGAGTGTTATGTTGTGAAGCTTCTGGCTCTTACACAAGTTAGGTTGTTTTTGTTTTGTTCTTGCCTCGCAGTTTGCTGTTTGTCTCCAAGTTCTTTGAGCATCACCCCATTCCCCAGGAGGAGACCTCTTTAGGAGAGACCGCCCCAGCATCTTCATCGTACCCCTCAGTGCCCCCCTCAGCCT